TTGTGGACTGGCTCAGCCCACTCTAAGGGCAGGGCTGGAGTGGCATGTGGTACTGAGGATTGAACTGCAGTCCCCTGTGGCTGCCTAAGCTTGCCTAAGCAGGCACTTTAGACCGCTAAGCTATCTCGCCGGCCCTTCACTTTCTTTTTGGGTGGTGGGGATTGAACTCGGGGCACTGAATCACATTCTCAGCCCTTCTATATTTTTAAAATTTTGAGACATGTAATCTCAGCACTCTGGGAGGCTAAGACAGGAGGACAGCAAGTTCATGCCCAACCTGGGCAACTTAGGGACCCCAAGTCCTTAAAAACCACAAAATCTTGATTCACAGCATCGGGATCCCATAGCTGAAGAGTCTAAAGGAACTGCAGCATATGAAGATGACATGAATCTCTCTCCACAGTACCTGCTCCCGCTCTCCAGACTCACAAGCAGGACGCACCCATGGCCTACACCATGTCTGGGATGGGAGGAGAAGGCCTGCCTGGCCCAGAGGGGCAAAGGCAGCTTTTGGTTCAAATTTCAAACAAGTAAGAACCAAGCAGAGTACACAGCACACCCAGGACGCTGTTCTCCAGGCCACCTGAGAACACACCTGTGACAAGCGCAATGCCTGCAAAGTGTGGCCCGAGGAAGAGGCCAGTAGCCAACCAGGCTGCAGGTCACCTGCCGCAGATGCACCTGGGAGACCCACGTTTCTCTTCTGAGTTCTACCTCACCTCTGTATTTTGGGGGCAGCTACACCTCCCTGACCATCCTTGAGTTCCAACGGAGCAGATTGTTTTTCCTGCTCAGCCTGGTTAATCAGAGGAGGTCATTTTCCAGATAAGAGTGACCAGTTCAGGGTGTACCAACCCTCCTCAGATCAACCAACATGGAGACTGAATTCTACAAGACCTGTGTGAACCACCTGGAACGCAGCTTCACCCTGCGCCTCTGGCCTTGAACCTGGAGGAAGGGTGCCCCACCGTGGTTCCTGGGGAGGTCAGGTGCCAGGCACAGGTGTCAGCTGCAGCCCTCTTGGAGGACCGAGAGCAAGGAGGGGGCAGGGAGCTCAGCCCCAGGCATGCTTTGAGCTCTTACTTCCAGCCACCAGAAGCCAATCTGGCCTCTGAACTTCTCTCTTATGCCAGTCACCGAACTTGCTTTAGTTTAAGCCAGTCTGGAGTGTTTTTGTTTTTTGGGTTTTTTTTGGCAGAACCGGAGATTGAACTCAGGCCCTTGTGCTTGCCAAGGAAGTGCTTATTCCTTGGAGTGGGTTTTCTGTCACCTAAAGGAGCCAAGAGTGAAACCTTGAGATTCCACTGCGCTTAGTATTTATGCAGTACTTGCAAGATCAGGCCTTTTTCCCATGCTGAGGCTCTCACTGGGAAGATGAACATCAGACAGAAACCCGCAGTGAGATTTCACGGAGCATGCAATATCTGTGTTTCTTCTCAGAGCAGAGCCCCCGGGGGCTGCGTAGGGTGTCTTTACCATGTCCTAGGAGGCTCTGTCACGTTCCACGGCCCCAGTGCTCCGTCCCTGCCTGCATGGTCCAGCGGCGCACACTGCTCTGGGCCCTGGAGTGTGGCCCGTCTGCCCCGCCTCCCACTGACCCTTCCTCTGGGCTGGCAGCTCTGCCTTCCCGCCTTGCACTGAGTTTTAGGACTGCAGCCTCAGGAGTGGCTGGGAGCCCCAGGGAAAGCAGCGGCTATGGACAGTGTCCCCACAACTCACCCAATGAACGTGTACTGAGGCGGTGCCTGCTTGGTCCGGCCCATGATCCGAATGTCACAGATGGCGGCTTCAGTTGAGTCCCGGGGGATGAACTTAATGCACAGCCTTTTCTTCCTAAAAGCCACCTCCTCTGAAGGAAACAATAAGAGAGATGTGAGTCCCTGGCAATGCCACCCTTTGCTCTGCAAACCCTGTCTTCCGTGTGTTCCCTTCCTGGTGGCAGAAGCAATGGCTTATTCTGGTTGCCCAACACAAAGGCTGCACTCTACCCCCTGCCTTCCCTAGGGCTTCAATGCTCAGGCTGTGACAACAGGGGGTGCCAGTCCCCCTGCCCTGTGCCCTGCCTGACCCCAGACATGCCAGCTGAGAAGGGCTAAGGTCAGGGCCTGGGAGCCCACAGTCTCTGCAGTAAAACCCGGGACAGCTTTGGTTCCCCATGTTGGCCCTTCTTTTCTACTCTTTATCACAGAAATTCCCAAGCATACTACAAAAAGGAGGGAACAGCAAAATGAATCCGCACATGCTCCTGTCTCAGTGGGGGCTGCCTCCCCCAGCTTTGCAACATTCAAAGGGCACCCCCAACACCACACTGTGCCCCAGCCCGTCTCTACACTGCCTGCCTCAGTGCAACTGCATCTCGTAGCTTCACCACATGACCACCACGCCATTATCATTCCCAATGAAGCCAACGGAAGTCCTTGATTTTGCCCGACAGATGGGCTCCATGAGTTTGCGCCTCCTCTCAAGCTGTCACTGTGCTGCTGGCTTATGTGGGTCCACACTCAGGAGACGTCCGCGCCCTGCCCTGGCCTGTCGGGGCTCTCCCGTCCTGGCTCCCTTGTTCTTCAGGGCACTGACATGCTGCTGAGACACGGCCGCTCCTTTCTGCGTCCCATGGTGTGACAGAGCTAAAGCTGGCTTCGACTCAGGCTGGCTCTTTGAACTGACCAGCTCACAGGTGGTGCGTGTTGTCCCCACAGAGTCACACCACAGAGCCACTTCCTTTGGGTGGGTTCCTGCACTGTCAGCCTGGGACCGCCATCATCACCCCAACTACCACTCTTAGAGCAGTTTTCTCAGCTGCAGATGACAAATGCTAAGGTCCACACTCCTACAGGGGTCTCAGGATGCCGACTTTCTAATCCTGTCATCTCTTCTGCACCGAGGGTGGAATTCTTCTACATAGAAACAACTTTTCTTCATCAACTTCTTAGCCTCCCTGAAGAAGGCTGACACAGGCCAGTGTGTGAGTCTCTTCTCATACTTGTCAAGTCGAGCACAATGATTCGGTACCCCTGCGACTGCCAGTGGAGACCCATGAGGTGGGTTTCTGTTGTCCACTGTGGTCCTGAATACTCATTTCAAACAACCCACGAGTCCACAGGATCTAAGGTGAAGCCTCCTTCCTGCCATTTTCTGGTACTGTGCCCTCACGAGAGTTACCTAGTCCTTTTGATCATAAAATGGATCAGTGAAACCCCACCCCAAGGGACTTCAAGTGGACGTAAGGTGGCAACACTGGACTCCCTCGGTCAGTTCCTGGCACACAGTAAGTGCTTAGCAAGGAACAGCCACGAGAGAGCTTCCCATCAAAATGACAAGGACGCTTCGAGGATATAATTGATGTCCCTGCTTGATATTGACCTTCAAGGCCTTCCTGTCCTGTGGCAGAAAATATGAACATTTATAGCACATTTAAATCAAGGAGTGAACGAGGGGGTGGCAGCCTTGCCTGCGCCATCAGCGAGGATGGACTCAGTGTACTGTCTGGCGGTTGCTGTTTTTGCAGCCAAGGGTGGAATTTTTTTTTTGTTTTAAACAGATTAAAACCAGAAATGTTCTGAGTCATTTTGCCAGGTGTAGAAGCTTAGGGCTAGACTAGATCTGAACCCAGACCCCAAACATGGTTGCTACTGAGACGGGAGTGGCATTGTGGGGGGAGGAGTGTCTGGGGCATCCCTTGACCCGCCTTGGCAAGTGGGACAAGGGGCCACCTTGCTCCAAGTAAGCAGACACAGGTGTTTGACTTGCTCATGGCGTCTCCATCTCTCCCTCTGCGGCAAGCTTGGGGTAAGGGATGAAGTGCTCATTACCCATGCGTAAGCAGGCCTAATTTTAAGTAAATATATTATACATAGTCAATAGAAATGTGTTCACTTATGCTAATGAACACAGAGAAAGTATGCAGCACTTTACTAAAACAAACAACCTTCCCAATTTTAAGTGCTGTATGGACGGCCCAAAACTGTATTTTAAATTAATTACAGGAGCCTCATCTTTTTGGCTGACTGTATGAAACTGGGGCCTTAAATACTCTCCCATGCCACAGAGCTGACCATGGGGCTCCTGGAAAATGGCTCTGTGACCAGAATGAACAGGCTGCCCCCACCTGGCCTCCTGTATGACTAGGCCATCACCAGACACCACAGATGCGGCCCTGCGTGGTGGAGGCCAGGCTTCCCAGCGAAGACTGCTGCACCCCTGCTTGCCACCAGACAATGAGGGGGCCCAGCCAGCACTCAGTGGAGTTGGGAGGGGCCTGGGGCTCTGCAGCACCTCCACCTCCACAGATTTTTGCAGAAACAAAAATCAAGGCATATCTTACAATTACAAAAGGCGTGAGAGGAAGGGGGAAAGTAATGCGAGTCTATATGACTGCTTTAGTTGACAAGCAGACAATCCACAGGAAGCAAAAGTAGTGAGCAAACACTTATGAAAATGTCCAGTCTTGCTGCTAAGTAATGGAGTAAAAATTGAACACAATTAAAACAGTAAAACTAAATATAGATTTGAGAGCTATGCAGATTGGCAAAGCTTGTGTCACTTACAGGCATGAGCCTACAGCACGTGGAAATGTAAACCCACATTTCCGGATGTCAGTTAGGCCACAGAGAGTAAAAAGTTTATCTTCATGGAGGCCATGTGAGAGGCAGGCCATGGTGTGGAGTGGTGCCTCAGGTGATTCAGAAATGAAGTAAACAGATTGTCCTCAAAGAGAGATGAGAAGCAAAGGCATGAGGACAACACATAACGGTTACAACCCAAGTGACCAGAGACATTTTGAAGCAGGTAATGTTCTGTGGCTTGTCAGACAAGGGAACTGCAGTCCAGGAGGGTGATGGGATTTACCCAGAGTTCCACAGTTGTAAGTGGCAGAGGCAAACAAACACTAGGCAAGAGGGACTCCAAGAGTCCCTGTTTCTCCAAGCACACCCAGTGCCAGTCTGTCCTGACACAGCGAAAGACAGGGATCTGAGGCAGGGCTGAGAACTTCTTTGGCTTCTGCCACAGTGACTTGCACATGGTGACAGAGCACAGCCATTTTGTTGTCAGTTGGCAGTGCAAGTCCTTGGCAGGCCTGGCTCCCCCTGGACCATGCTCCCTGAGGGCAAGACCAGCTTCCCTCTGTGCATCCCTCTAACCTGAAGCCCTGACTCTATGAGGAGGAGCAGAGGCAAAGGGCAAGCTAGGACAGGTGAGCCAGCAACTCTGACCCTTACTCTTGAAGGACACAGGGTGTGGGCAGTGTGAGAGGAGGAAAGGAATCCATAGGCAGGGAAAATAGCACCCCAAATAACTGGGGTTGGAGGAGAAAGAAGTGTGAAGACAGCATAGTGAGGGCTGAGTCTGTGGAAGGCCAGGGCGTGCCCGGTAGGCATGGCAGCGGCAGGCTGTGTAGGGCCTGGCAGACTCAAGCCCTCCAAAATGCAACACAAGGAAGTTATTCAAAATCCACATGCACCCGAACTGATGGATAGATTCAGCATCATTCCCATCAAGGCCTCAGCCAGCTTCTTTTGCAGACACTGACACGCTAGTGCCCAAACTCATCTGAAAATTCAAGAGACTCAGAATAGCTGAAATGAGGCCTAAAGAAAGAACAAAGTGAGGAGCCAGACTGCCCATTCCAAGACTTGCTACAAAGCTACAATACTCGAGAATGTTTGGTACTTACATAAAGAACGATAGACAGAGGGAAGAGAACTCCTAGTCCAGAAATAAAACTTCCCACTTTCCAGCAATTGACAGCCACCACGGATGGTAGGAGCTCAATGGGGGGAAGAGGAGGCTTTTCAACAAATGGTGCTGGGACAACTGGATATGTGAAAAGATAAAGTTGGACTCTATTTCTCAAAAACTAACTAAAAGGGGATCTAAGCCATAAATGTAGAAGCTAAAATGACAAAACCCTTAAAAAAAACAGGCATAAAATGCAATAGATTGGGCTGTGGTTTCTAATGTATGACATGAAAAGCATAATCAGCTAAGGAGAACGTATGTAAGTGGAACTCTGAAGATGATGGGATGTTATGTTTCACAAGATACCACCAAGAAAGTAAAGAGAAAACCCATGAAATGGGAGAAAAATTTGCCAACCGCATAAGGATTTCTAATTAAGATATGTATAATAAAATATTCTTAGAACTCAACAAAAAGACAACCCATTTACAAAATGATCAAGGCATCAAAATAGACATTTCTTCAGCAGAGATGCACAAATGGCCAGGGGCATGATGCAAAACCACAAGGTGGTGCCACTTCACACCGCCCAGGACAGCCAGCACCAAGATGGTGGACGGCAAGTATTGGGGACAGTGTGGGGAAGTCACAAGTCTCCTAGCTGCTGGTGAAATGGAAATGGCACGGCTCCTCTGAAAAAGGAGCTCCCTCCAACAGTAAAACAAAGATTACACATACCCCTGTAATCCCACGCAGTGGTATGTCCCCCAGGGAACCAAAACACATGGGCCCATACAAACCCCTGCTTGTGAGTCATCAGGGCACCACTATTCACAGTAGACAAAAAGTGGAAGCAACCCAACTATTCACCAGCTGAATGAAAAGCCAGAAAATGGCCTATCCATAGAAAATTACATTATTTGGCAATAAAACAATGAAAACATGCCACAGCGTGGACTAATCTTGAAAACATTATACTAAGTGAAAGCAACCAGACCCAAAAGACTACATATAGCTGGGCATGGTGGTACACACCTGTCATCCCAGCACTGGAGGCTGAGGCAGGAGTATTGGTCCGAGGCCAGCTTGAACTACATAGTAAGACCTTGTCTCAAAAAAATAAAACAGACAGGGCCAGTGAGACAGCTTAGCAGACTAAGTGCCTGCTTAGGCAACCACAGGCACTGGGGTTCGATCCCTGGCACCACAGGCCACACTGGCCCTGCCCCCTCTCCCCCCAGGTGAGCTGAGCAGGCCATCTAGACTGAGCGTGGTGGTGCATGCCTGTAATCCCAGCACTGGGGAGGCTAAAAACAGGAGGATCATTAGGAGTCTGAGCTGCATAGTGAGGCCCTCTACCAAATACATAAAAACAAATAAACAAACCTACATATAGCATGTTTCCATTGATAGAAAATAAAAATGGCAGTTGACAGGCTTGTATAGGGGTGTGTGTGTTGTGTGTTGTTTTGTGTGACCTTGGTTAAATTCATTAATCCCTAAGTATGTAGTGTGTCTCATTTTTCTCATTGAGATATATCAGTTATTATAATTATTAGCTAATATGAACAGTGATAATAAAAATCAACCCAATATCCCAAAGTGAAGACACCATCAAGAAAATAAACACACGCTAAACAATGGGAGGAATTCTCTTGCTTTATTAAAATAACATGGTGAGGGTCAGGAAAGTCCGTTTAGTGTGAAAATGCTTGTAAGAAAACGGCAAACAAATACTGGTCCAAAGTGGGACAACCAGGAAAGACAAAGCATGCATGATGAAGAACGAGAGGTGGAACTAACTGCACAAATCAACCGTATGCCTCAGAAAAGGGGCCTCGGCATTTGGTTTTCATCCCTGATTTCACCGATGTGGTTATGCCAAGTTGGTAAAGAGTCACTCAAAATAAAACAAGTTCTATTTCACACGATGAGGAGGCTCTAGCGTCGAGGCTTTCTAGGTCCACTTCGCACTCCACAGCCAGGACGTGGGGTCAGAATCCCCAGGCACCAGCGTCAGGAGCAGCTTCTGCGCCATCTGCAGTTCGCCTCTGCTCAGCGCAGAACTGTTCAGTGCTCAGAATGCAAACCCTGTGCTCAAGCTCCACCTTGCGGTCTGTCTGTCCTCACTGTCCCCATCTGCTCTAGGAGCCTCAAGTGGGCCCCCTCTCACACTTGTGCTCATTTTGATTTTTCCTTTTTGCTTCTGGGTCCTATACCAAGCTTGGCTTCACTAACATCAGAGAACAAAAGACGAGCTGTCACCAGGCTCAGCTCCTTCCTTCCTCAGCTCCTGCAGCAGGTAGCACCTCCTAAGGGAAGGGGACCCTTGCTCCCCAAATGGGGTCTCCTTCTACCCACAGAACAGAGAGCCCACAGGAATGGGCACCAGAAGCAGCAGGTTTTATTCAGTGGTATGCAGTGACCCTTCCTATGTTTCCCAAGGAAAACACCCACAAAATGTACTCTTAAGTACTCCTGGAGGAGGGAGACTCTCACGTGACGGGCAGTGCTAGGGGTGACTCACGTGTGTCCACCGTCTCCTGGATGGGGATGAAGCCCACGGGCAGCGTGTCCTTGATGTCAATAAGCTTCATGTCCACTAACACATTCCCCAAATGACTCTTGGGAAGAAAGAAACAGACACAGAGTGTTAATGTGAGCAGGCCTGCAGTGGGTTCTCTGTTCTGCCCTCAAGATGCATATTTAACAATGACTCATGCAGCTTTATTACAGCAGGTTAATTAGAGTAGGTGACACTTAATGCTCCCCAGCGGTCACAGGGACTCTGGTGGCCCCTGGGAAGGAGTTTCATCTGCAGAACCTCAAAGCCACTCACTCAAATGTGGTCTTTACGTGCTGGATAAGCTACCCAGAAGAGGCTGTAGACATAACCCAGCAGAGGGCAGCTGTGCACCTGTGTCCCCAGACCTGGTGACCCCTCAGCCCTGAGTGGCCAATCTCAGGGCAAGTAAGCTTTAGAGACAGCAGATTTCTGGGTCACTGGCAAGGGCGAGTTGCATCTAGACCAACAGTTGCCAATCCCACTTCTAAGCGATCATGGCCCTCACACGGACAGTGTGTGGCTAGATGCATTTTGCAAAGTCCCAAGAATCATAAACTAATGCAGAGTGAAAGCTGGGCTGCCTCAGAATCACATGTCTTCTAAAATGACATGCACTAGCCCCTCAGAGCTTTTGTTCAGTGGCAGTATATGGGGGCCACACGCGGTTTCTGTAACAGGCATAAAAACATCTTTCAAAGACAGTGCAGCACCATTCTGTAATTGCAAGAGAGAATTCTCGGTGAACATCCCAGCATTCACTGCCTGCATTTCACGTTGGATACAGCCTGAAGAAATCTGCCCTATAATGTAGAAACACAGGGCCACTGTGGAGATTTCATTGACATCTTCAGAGTCGCCTGCATCCCAGTTCCGCTGTCTCTAGGCAAAGCCAGTTAAGGGCAGAAGGACGGGGTCTGATCCCAAATCCCTCCTGTTAGATCCTGGCACCACACACCGCGCGCCCATTCTCCAGAAGCGTCTCATTCCTGAAGCCCTCGCTCTCATGCTTGTCTGCAGTCCTGCACCAACACCAGAGAGTGAGCCTGTCACTTCTCAGGGAAGGGCTCCTATCTCCGTCTCTATGCCTGAGGCCCAGACCCAACCTCCATTTGGGTAACACTGACATCTCCAAGAGCAAGCAGGGAATTCTCACCAAGCAAACTACACTACCTTCCCTCCGGGCACTCTCTGGTTACCTTCATGTCAATGTACAATCATATACTTTTAAGGTTCTTTATTTAGTATCTGTCTCTCCACTAGCCCTTAGGAACTGTGAAGACAAAAACCATCTCTGCTCCAACTGTAAATCCAGGCCTAGCACTGCTTTTGCCCTATATTAGGTGTTCAATAATTATCTGTTGAATAAACTAATGTTTTGGGTCCATTTTTCAGGGGAGTCGTCTCTGAGCATCAGACATCAAATCAAATTTCATATTATCACATCCCAGGTGGTGGTGGTGGGGTGCTCAGGACAACAATGTACAGTGTGGCAAGTGGGAAGTGGAGTCCTCCCTAATGTGGAATAAATCTCTGACTGTGCAGGAGGGGTCTGAACAGTTAACCTAACTCACAAACATCAGCTGCTTTCACAATCGCCCGAGCTAATCTATCATAATTTTTTTTCAGAGCAGTTGCTTTTCCATGTCATCACTGCTTTCTGCATTGAGAAATTAACAACTGGGCATGTTTTGCTGCCCTGGAGATGGATGGGCATTCATCAATACCCTTCTCAAACGTCTTCAGCTTGACAAGTTGGGTTTCACAGAAGTCAACTGCAAACCACTTAGCGATCTCACCCTCTACGCTCTCTACAAATGTCCCTGATCATAAAACCAGAACATCAGTGGTGCGGCCATTAAAAGATGCATTGGGAAACCCTCTCATGCGTACAGAATGGGAGGCTCTGCCGTTGAAGCTCCCGCAGCCCAAGTGTGGCCCTCCTTGCTGCCACGCAGAGTTTAATCCTGTAGGTCTGCGACACCATTAATTTTGCTTGTTCCTCTCCCCTCCTCCACCCGTGCTCTCTTTCATTTCCTCCTCATAAATATGAAGAACGTATTCCCAATCCTTGTTGAGCAAATGATTCATGCCAAAAGCCCAATATGCACTGACTCAGGGTATTTATATTGTCTCTGGTAGCCAGTATTTGCTAGTATACTGTAATTATTTTTGACAACCTTGCATTTAAGGTAGCCACAGATAACCAACTTAATATTCAAATGTTCATAAATCCTTCTGTTTAATATCCTCCCTACCTAATCTATGTACATTATTATTACAGGTAATGCAGAAAGTACAAGGCATGAAAAGTATAATTAATCTTGATCTTTCCCCAGGAAGCAATGTCACTCCAAAGCCAGGTTTCTGTATTAATAGCATTATTGGGGGAAAAGAATTTAGGTTCCAAAGGAGGCTCCCCAAACTCCTACACTGGGAGTCTCAAGTTGCCTAATTAAGAATCTGCCTGGTCTTGAGATTGCCATGCCCTCCTGCACAACGGCAAGAATCCTGTTCTGCAAACCTTTGGTTCAGACTGCAGGACTGGGGCAGACTGGATGCCAAGGACTGAAACGCGCCCCACGCCTAGGCTGCAAATAGGCCCCTGCCACCCCTTGGACTGGATCCCAAATCAAATTCAATCCTTTGGCTTGATTGTTTAGGACTCACCCATTCTCTTCTTCAAAATCACCTCCTTGGCGTATGGCTTGAGAGTGAGGTGGGCTGACTCCCACTGCCTTTGCCAGGTTCCTTCCCGCATCCCTGCATCCTACCCCATACGGGGCCGTTTAATGTCAACAATGCTGACAAAACCAATGTGCCCTCTCTAGTGCCGACTCAAGACACCCAAAACTAACCAGCCCCAGTGATTTCTCTCTGTCATATTAGACTTGTTGCTGTACCCATTCCTACACAGATAGAATTAAAGCCCAGAAGCCTTCCAGGGACGGTGGGGGAAGATACAACAAAAACCAAAACCAAAAATGGTCGCAGAGATGGTGGCCATCCTCTAAGGCTGTAGAACTAGAGCCTCTTCTGGCCACAGAAGGCTGCAAAGATACCAGGAAGAAACACATGGACACCACCAGAGGACACAGTGTGTGCACAGTCGTCCTGGGAGTTTCTCCTCCCAGCCCGAGCAGGGACGAGGATGCGGACCCTCCACAGGAAGCAGTGGCCAGTGGACAGAACAGAGGCAGCGAAAGCTAAAAGCAGAAGTAGCCTCAAATAAGAGCCCCAGTAAACTCCAGGACACAAGGGTCAGGGTAATCTGTGGGGGTGCAAGCAGGAAGGATGGACCACAGGGGCTGATGACCTCGAGAGCCCAATGTCTGGGAGGGCACCTGCACCCTCACACCTGTTCTCTGGTGTCTCCTCAGAGCACGGTGAGCCACAGAGTCCTGCTCCAGGCACAGGCGAATGCTCCAGCTCAGTCACCACTTTCCTGGTACTGAAGATGCCCTCATGCCCAGGATTAAAAGGCTCCCTAATCTTAGCACCTAGACCTTGCCCAATTCCATCAACACAAATATACTGCATTTACAACAAGCAAATATACTGCTCCTGTAATCAGGGGAAAATTAAAGCAATGACTTGTCCCCCCAACCCCCCGTCTTGGGCACATGAGGAATAATTCTTCTCACATGGTATCACCAACAAACAGCAGGAATGGGCAGTAGAAAGATGCAAGCCAGAGGGCCACATGCAGCAAACACGGAAGGGACCCAGGACAGGTCCTGGCCAGGGCTGTGGGGTGGGGGAAGGCTTCTGCCCTTTCAGGCTTCTCAATAAGAATGCACGACATTCTTGTGTTGGTTTGGGTTTTCTCTTTTAATTTATCAATTGTGATTAGCACATGCTGGCAGTACGTGATGATTACACTCACTGGGGAGCTGCTACCGGTACATAAGACATCCTAACCTTCTTTATGCCCCCTCTCCTCCCCTCCCTGCCCTTTCCTCTACCTCTTGGTTCCCTTGTTTGTTTGTTTTTTAACCACAGGCATAACAACTTTTAAGAACTGGTAAAAATATTTCAAAAAATAATTATATGCACTAGCAAAAGACAAAAACATTTAAACCGACAATAAAACATCCCCCTTAAAAATCTGGCTGTTCCCAAAATAGTCAGGGTCAGGGAACACAACTGACTTGGGGCAAGTCCTCAACTCTTGATGTCATTGTCATCCTTCATGGCAAGGGGAAAATGCTGGGAGCCACCATCTATGGCGACAGCGGTCTACATGTGCAGGCGCCCAGGGTGCCTACGTGGGCTAGAAAATCACTAAAGCTGCTTCCCTTTTTTCTACATGACCAATCAGAATGCCTTCTAGGAAAGCCTTAGCAGGTGTCTTTAAAGTTTCCCAATTTATGAGCCCAGGTACTAAAAAAGAGAAACGTATGGAGAAATGTACACATATACTTACCCACAAAAATAATAAAATGTCCTGTCACACAGAGACTCTGAGTGAAAAGAAAATGCCAGGTCTGGGACTGGAGGTAGGGAGTGTGTGCATGCATGTGCATGTGCATGTGTGCGTGTGTGCATGTGCATGTGTGTGTGTGTGTGTGTGTGTGTGTGTGTGTGTGTGTGTGTGTGAGAGAGATGTGGGTCCTCCGCCCATCAGGGCTGCATTACGTCCAGCTCCCCTGGACAACTCACAGCCATAGTGGTCTGTGATTTGTCACCTGGAGGAAAGGTAGGCACATGGGAGCTGGGAGAGAAATTTCCTGCTTTACACATTTTAATAGAATTCACTGTACACTTGGGTACGTGGTTAATAATACTGTTAATAAATGAAGCGCAGTGCTGGCTGCTGATTCTACCCAGTTCACTAAAACCATAGATAAATTAATAAGGCAATGAAAATAAACCACCACCACCACAACAACAACAAAAAGAGGAAATTCCGAGCAGGAATATACATTGCTCCAGCTCACTCAGCAAGTGGGAACTACCACTAGACTACTACTCACATTTTCTTTGGAAAATGATCTCGTGAAACACAGGTATCTGGTGACCTTGGACTTGAATAGGCCGTCTTTCCAGAGGTCAGCGTCCACACCATCTGCCGTCTGTGCGACCTGCACCGGAGACAGGAGAGGATGGCCAGTCAGAGAGGCTGGAGCTGGAGGCGCGTGCACGCCGCTCCTCGTACCTGCTCCAATTAACACGGCCCGAACTCTCATGGCATCTCATTAGTTCGTTTCACCAAGCACAGGGAGGAGAGAGTTTCCAAAAGGGAAAAAGGGAGAGTGTGAAAAATACAACTTCTAAAAATACTGTCCCTGGGGAAGCCATTGATTAAAGACACCCTGACAAAAACGGTCCTAATGAGAAAGGAGCAGCTTTCCTTGTAATGGACCAAGCAGGACCCAGGAAGTCAGCACATCAGTTGCTCATTACCACACGCACCCAGGACGGTGCGGGTGCACAGCCAGGCCCAGCGGGGTGGACATGCACCTGGGGGTGCTGCTGGGGGCACTGAGACGGCCTCGGACCAGCAGGGCGGGTCAGGAAGACTGGTCCCACGCTGCCTCTTCTCGCTACAAGTCCTGAAAGCGGGACTTGAGGTCAGAAACTGCCCCCATGATGGAGCAGTAAAAACAATCAGTTCCCTGTCTCTGGTCTCCCTAGGAAGCCATTTTCTCGCATCCAGCTGTAGAAATTCTCCTCCCGGAAATGTCCAAGGGTGAAGCCGGCTTTGATCTGCCCCACTGGACAGACTGCGGCGCTGGCTCGATGCGGGGCCTGCTGGGCCCACAAGTGACTGGAGGGTGGAGCCCGGGGCCTGAGCAGCCTGCTATTTTCTTCCTTCCTCTCTCTCTCCTGCTGTCTTACTAGGTGGCCAGGGCTGGGTGTGCAGCCTGACGTGACAACATCACAGCATGGGGTGACAAGGGACCAACCTTCCACACAGTGCCAGCCCCATAAAGGGAAGGCCAGCCCCGTGATTGTTTGACATATCAGAAGGGGTCTTCAATCGCCTGCTTTTGGACTGCTCTGGGGTTGTCCTTCTGAGGTTTTCCCTGGGTCTAGACCTTGATCTGACATGCTGCCAGTCACTGTGACAAACTTCTGAGACCAGTTCTGTTCTTTCCCCGAGGCCGCGGTGATCCAGCCCCATCCTCAATGCACTGAACTCAGGTACCACGTCCATAGTCTCTGTCCCTGACAGGCCCAGTGTACCATCACGGGGGCTTCCTGGGACAGGCCTAGAGCTTACACTCTCTGAGGCTGCGGAAGAACAGTCGAAAAGCTGGCTGACAACAGAAAAAAGAAATGCTTGTTCTTTAGACAGAACAATTGTAAATTAACAAACACAAAGACCAGGAAAAAAGGCCCTTATGCTGAGTATGCAAGTCTCTTTGACCTGAAAGCTGAAGGAGGATTGGTATGAGGATCATTTTAGGAACTATTTGCTCCAAGTATGTGTGTTGTGACCCCCACACCCTGAAGAAAGGGCTGAGGCCTTGTAAGTGAGTTTTCCCCCAGTGGGCCCACACCAAGACTCCTATAAAGTATGAGACTGTAGGCTGTGGCCTCAGCCTTTGTACCTGCCTTCTCCCTGCAGCAGAGAGACCCGGGCACCTCTCCCTTCCAGGCACACTAAGGTCCTCCTCCACTAGCTAGCATCTTCAAGACCAAGAGTACGGTGTGAAGTGGACCAGGGAGGCTGGGGCAGGTGGGGCGTGGGGTGGAGAACCAAACACCCAGGGAGGAAAAGGCAGCGAGGACTCCCCAAGCAGACTTGTACTGGAAGCCTAGCAGCTTCAGAAGTCCCATGTCTACCTGGGTACCAGGGACACACTGTCCTGCTGGAGTCACTCTGGGCTCCAGGGGATGCTCCGTGTATAAGCACCCCACAGAGCATCTGCGAAGAGAGCCCAGCATCTCTAAACTGAACATGAAGAGCTGTGGTCTGATATCAAACCAGATATTCAAAGTTATGTTGTGAACATCAAGATTAAAAATGTCATCAAAAGTCTCATGGGGCCCCGCTTCTACCCAGTCCTCTGAGATGGCTTCCCCATCTCCAGGCCTCAATCCGGTCTTCAAAGGCCAATGCACATGTGTGAGCGGCGTCTGCTTCCCCAGCCGCCTGGTCTGGACTCTCTGCTTCACCAAGACAAGGCCTCTTCTGCCTGCCATTTTATCCCCTGCACCAAGCACAGTGTCTGACCCAGGTGGGCTTGATCAAAACGTGTTAAAGGAAGGAAGGAATCAACCACCGAATTAGAGCAAAGCATAAAAAGCCATGTGCCTTGCCAGTCATCCAGGTGAGGCAGTAGGAAGAAGGTTTTTTAAGTAGTTTCTCAGAATGATGCCATTGAGCCGAGTGCGACACTTGGACCTCTTTACCCAGGCTCCCCTCTGCCCACTCCTGAATGGCCACTCTGTGAGGCACACACCCACTGCTGGCAAGATAGCTCAGTGGACTAAACACTTGCTTAAGTAAGCCCAGGACTGGGGAGGCTGAAAACAGGAGGATCACTGTGAATTTGAGCTGCGTAGGGAGACCCTGCAATATATATTCAATTTAAAAATTAAAAAGAACATTTCAAAAGTATACTTAAAAAAGAAATCTATAGGAACCTGGACAACTAAGTCCATGAAATAACTTGCATTAATTCCAAGAAAAACAGAAGGTGGTACGAAAATGAAAAAGATTTTTCATATATTACTTGATTCAGTGGTATCCAGTGATGGTATGTAAAACACTGAGCACTGATTTACCAAACATCTGTGCTACTGCCGGATGGGTGGGGGTTATAAAAGAATAAAATGTCCACAATAGGTAAGCTAGGAAATAAGCAGGCGAGGCAGGTGGCGCCCAGATGTAATTCCGGCAGTTAGGAGAGTGAGGCAGCAGGACTGTAAGTTAAAGGCCAGCCTGGGCTATACAGTGAGACCTTGTCTCAAAGAGAAAAAGAAAAAAGAAAGGAAGAAGTAGCATAAGAACATTACTTTAGAGCCCACAGATGAAGCAGCAAAGAGGGGACACTAAGAGTTGAAGGCAAGGCTCATAGGAAGTGGGGATGGGCCGGTGAGACTGACACCTTTTCTTTTTCCTTTTCTTTCTGTCTTTCTTTTTTTTTTTTTGCAGAACCAGGGATCGAACTCAGGCTCTTGCACTTGCCAGGCAAGCACTTATACTACTGAACTATCTCCCCAGCCCTAAGGCTGACACTTTTTCTCACAAGCCTTTTAGTGCTGAGTTTTAAAGTATACACATACACACATCACATTATTAAAATTAATGCAAATTTTACTACTAAAAGGCCAAGAGCTAGGGAGAGGACTATACTGTGGAAGGCAGGGTGAGATTCCTGATTCCTTTTAGGCAAACACCCAGCATGGCAGCATCCGGGTGCCCCCTAGCCTGGCCGTGACGCTGCATTTTTAGGGAGCTCCTCAGTGTTCCGCAGCAGGTGACCCACCCGGAGTGTCACCTGCCATGGATCCCAGCCTTCCCCACTGCTAGCATCCACCAAGAATTAACTTGCAGACACCCCAGGAGGGGCTGCAGCTTGGGGGAGTCTCTGGGAGCCAGCAGCCACCAGGCAGTGCTGCCACGCCGAGAGTGCCCGGCTGGCCTCTGCCACACGCAGCACCGAGCTCTGATTCCTTCTCTGGCATCAGATCAGGGTCACTTTTTGGAGTCCCAGAGGACAGTGTGTGAGGAAGGAGGGAGCAGCCTTCTGGGCAGGGGTCTAGCTCCCCCAGCTGGCCTCTACCACAGTCTGGCTGTGGAGGAGCCTGAGGGTGAGTGGGAGAAACTCCTGGCCTGAGGGACAGGTGGGCTGCAGTCTTTCCTGAGTACTTAGGGCTTGCAGGAACTGTCTAAACTTAAGCATGCGTGTGGATCCACCCTCCCCCACACACAGCACAGTGACGCAGGCCTTGCTGCCTCCCCAACTTATGGAGAAGAGATGAGTACTTAAGAAAACTTAGCCACGCCATTGAGAACATGCCCCCTTCTTGGTGAAAACCAAAATGCCCGGGGCCCCAGCAGTGAGGGAGCTGTGGAGCCACATGCAGGCCTATCTGGAACACAGCCCACGGCCCTTCTCCCACAGAAGAGCCACTTCAGAGATCCACCAGGTGTCACCACGGGGAAGGGAAGGCAGGAACATAAAGGATCAATGCCGAGCTGAATGCCACAGATTACAGGGCACTTGAGGACACTTTCTAAAGCACAGGTTTTGGGAGCTGTGCTCTGATGACAGAAGAATAAAAGAAACCAGTGTGTTACCGTTTGCACATTCCTCCTGATCCCGTGTGGGGTATAACCGCCCTTGCAACAGAGTTAAGAGGTGACAGGCCCCAGGCCCTGCCCTTGCGACTTAAGCTGTCCTCACGGGAGTGGCACGCTCTGGGCCCCCACACTTCCTGGCACTCTGGCCATGGATACCTTCTGCCAAGTTACTGCAGCAGGCAGGCCTGCGCCACATGCAGCCCCGGGAGCTTGGGTGTCTGGCCTCTGGAACCCTGGGCCAAAGGAACTTCCGGTGTTTATAATCCACCTAGCCTATGACCTCCTGTTCCAACAGCAGGAGACAGACTAAGACTTGGTGATACGCACTTTCTAATAAATCACTCTTTTATTTTGTAAGAACTAAGTCTAAGCTAGCAGCCCTAGTGGATTTAAATGGCCTCATATAGTAAGGTAGGGCCCAGTGTTTTAATGAAGTTTTTCTACTGATAAGACACAGAGGTACTTCAGAATGCCTGGTCAGGGAGAATGTCTAAAGCCACAGGCTCTCAGAAACCAAGAAGAGCCCAAGCCAACAACCTCAGAAAGAGAAAGTGCTCTGGTGCCTCTTGGGGCCACCACCCTGGGGCCTTGGGCTTGGCACACAACATCCAAACAAAGCACATGGGTTCAATAAATCATGGCGTGTCAACGGTGCGTGTGGTTCTTAGGGTGATCTGTGCACCTGACTTACACCTGTGATATGTTCAGCAGGGAGAAAACGACTTCCCACAAGCATATGAGAAAATACATATGAACAGCTCTCATAAGGCCACAAGGAAAAGACGCTTGAGTCCCCAAATGGGCTGAGGCCAGCCACGAGCAGCC